CCTTCATTTCCATGCCTCCTGTGTCTCTGAGCTGGGAGGGGGTGGAGACCTAGGGGCTGACCCTTGGGCTTGAAGAGGAGGCCTCCAGGTCACCATCAGTGGTCGTGTCCTCGGGGCCACTTTTCCAGCCGCAGGATGGATGCGGATGGCTCATTGCTACCCTTCTGCCCAGGCTCTGCTGAGCCAAGCTGAGTGCACTGGCAAGATTGGCACCTGGGGAGCTCAGGTGTGTCCTGTAACCAAGGAACCAAGACTTGCTGGGCGTAAAACAGAGTTGAATCTTTTGACACCAGCTGTGGCAGCAACACCAAAGTCCTGACTGTCGCTCCTATAGATTTTGCCATTTGTCTCAGCGAAGCAAATCCAATAGAAAATGATACCTTCCAGAAAAAGGAGAATGGGTGAGTTCAAACAAGAATATTTGCCGACTAGATTAGGGAAACCCCCTTTGTGCTAAAATGTCCTAAGTGAATCCTCGTAGTACAATTTTGCAGGAGTCAAATGTAGGGGGAGGATCCCTTCCTTGCTGCCATCGTCTGGGGCAGGGCTCTGGCAGGGATGACAAGAGAGGGAGCTGATGGGCTGCCTACTGGCTTAGAGTCCATGCTGACGAGGCGGGCTTCCCAGGCCGATGAGAGACTTCTGGAAAATGTGGGAAAGAGCCGGGGTGAGAGAGGGCAGCCACTCACTGCTCACACAAAACCATCGTCCCAGCAGACAAATGGCTCCAGGAACCCTCCCCGTGAAGACAGGAGAGACATGGTCCTATAGCAACCTGGCTGCCTGGTGTTACTCTGCACATATAGTGTCTTATTGATAGAAAACCCTTGTTTCCAAAAATGATGAGAAACACGTTTCTTTTTTTGTGTAACAGAGGAAAAAGCCTTAGAGTTCTGAAAAAGCTACCCTTTCACACATGAAGCTCTGTGCCTCTAAGCCCCTGTGCATGCTGTTCCTTCTGTTAGGAATGCGCCTCCACCTGGAATGCTGGTGGATTCCGTGCATCCTCCAGCTTAGGTGTCTTCTCTTCTGCGTGGCCCTTCCCCGTCCTGCCTGCTCCACCGGGCAGACCATCTTCTTGGTCTCAGCCACCGCTGAACCATGTTTGTTCCCTGCGATAGGCAGGGCCTTTCCAGTTGCAGTTGACCATGGAAGCTCAACTCAGGCACATGGTAGCCAGAGGGTGATTTATTGGCTTTTGTAGCTGCAAAGACCGGGGTACGAATGGATCTAGAGGCGCAGAGGTGTAATTTTCTCCTCTTCGCCCTCTTTTCCCTCTTCTCCTCCTCCTTCCTTCTCTTCTTCCTCCTCCCCTCTTCCCCCCCTTCTCCCCTCCCCCTTCCCCCTCCCTTCCCCTCCAATGTCATGACTGCTGCATTATAAGCCGACCCAGGGGTCTGCTGGAGTGCAGACACCTGCTCAGTCCAGACGGCTATGGTTTGTATACAAGTCCTCAGCAAAGCCTTGTTGAACGAATGAATGGGTAGATGGAACTCGGGAGTCAGAACTACCTGAACACAGATGCAAGACTGTGTGCGTGGTGCACGTGTGTGCACCTCTGGGGCTGAGCTCTCTGTCCGTTACTGTCACGGTGTTGGGCATGGACCCCTCTTTCCCCCACTCTCCCATCAGTAAAGATTTCCCAGGTACCCACTCACTGGCTTGGGGAGATCCTATCTGAATAAGACCCAGTTCCTTGATTTCAGAAGTTCAAAGTCTAGAGAGCCAGTAGCCACATAAATGGCTAATGATTCAGCATCATAACTGCTGCAGTGGGAGCTGACACAGGGTCTGTGGGAGCACGGGGCCCCTCTCAGCCCAGAAGCCAGGGGGGCTTCCTGGAGAGGGGCTGCTTAGGTGAGCTGAGAGAGGAGGGAAAGGTACCAACGTGCTTGAGCGCTCCATGCAACTTGGAAAGCCATGACTCCTGTGGGCCAGGCTCTCGGCTGTGCTGTGTGCCGGAAGAGAATCCCCATATTCAAATAGTTTTCTTGCATTTCTCAACTTCTGTGAAGGCAACAGGCAATCCTTCTCTGAAATTCCCCCTTGTCTTTCCTTTCCTCTCTCCTTCACGCCCCAGTGCCTCACCTCCTTCACAGTGACTCTTGCAAAACCCTGCCCTGAGCTTTTAATCCTCTCTGCCACAACCCTCCCCCCGCCCCCGTTGCCCCACCTTTTCTTTGTAGGCTCTTTGTTTTGAAGACCAACATAGTCTCTTCCTTCTGGGATGATTCCCTCCTCCGCCAGCCTCTCAGGTCCAATAATGCGTCCACTTTCTGGCTCCATTACAAAAGGCAGGACAGGAGGCTCCTCACAGGGCAGCCCAGGGCAATGAGCTGCACAATTCCAGCCGAGCGAGAAGGGGGATTCCGAGCTACTCACAGGACATGCTTCGGTCTCATCTCCCTTACCTTCTAAACTACATGAAGCTTAGCCTGTTTCGAAGAGGAGGAAACCGAGGCTCAGAGAGATCAAGTAACTGGCCCAAGATCCCACAGCTAGCAAATGTCTGCTTTTCTTGCCTGTTCTTTCTTCCTGTCTTCCCTTTGGTCCACAGAACTGCGATTTCAACCCAACGAGGGACTTCCCTAAATATCTTGTCTAGATCACTCCCCACTGTTACACTTTTCCTTCATAGTACCCGTCACAGTTGTAATTGTACATTTATTTGAATAATTCTTGTACTAAAGTCTATCCCTAATAACCTCATAGAGGGAAGGGACACTATAATTTTTAAACTCCCTTGTATTCCCAGCGAATAAAACAGCATCTGAGATGGAACAGGTGCTCAGTGAGTATTTGCCAAATAAAAGTACAAGGAATTGAAATTCAAACTTGTCTCCCAAACCCAAGTCCCTTTCCGACATCCTAAGTTGGTGTTTTCCAGGAAGACAAGACAGGGCGGAGGTCATTCCAGGGTGAGGGACTGCCATAAGACCCATTAGGGAAATTACAATTACCGTTTTTTGTTTGCTTGCTTGTGTTTTGTGGTGGTCGTGGCTTGAATCCAGGCTGTAGGTGGAGGAGCAGGGGCAGGAGAAGATTTGGAGCAAGGGAAAGATGATTAAAAGACTTCAAAGAGCTTACCTGAGTCCAAGGATCAGGGATTGCAAGGAGATACTGAGAGTTTTCCACCTGGGGAATGACGTGATCACAGTTACATCTGAGAAAGATTGCTCTGCCTGCCATTGAGTAGAGGGCTGGCAGAGGATCAGGGCAGAACCTGGAAACTAGCAGAGTGTCGCCATAAAACAGGGTGGAGAAGACACATTCTTGGATGGGGTGTCAGTGGAGAGAGGAGCAGACTAGCTCCTAGGAGATGGGGAGAGAGAGGAGGAAAGGATGACTCCCTAGTTTCAGGTGCAGGTCCCTGGACAGATGGTTTTTCCACTTCCATCAGCAGAAAGCACTGAAGGGAGAGAAGATTTGAGGGAGAAGACGCTGGAGAAGGCCAAGTGCGCTGAGTCTCCAAAGTTGTCTCCAACAGCTTGCAGGTGTTGGTCCAGGGTGCAGATGGGGACCAGGGTGAATGGGGCAGGTGGGTCTGAGTGGAGAGAGAGATTAAAGAGGGGATGAGAGAGGCCCGTCCCTGTTTCTAGACCTCGGTGCAGGGCGCTGTACACCTCAGCCCGTTCTCTCCCCAGCTGTCTTCAGCTGAGCTTCACCCAGGCAGAAACTTGACCCTTCAGAAGCGGAACTTGTCTGCTGGAGGGAGGAACCATGTTAAGAGCCTGGAACACTGCTCTCCTCTCCAGGGTTTCTTGCCATTCTTTTCCAAACTTCGGGCTTTGGGCCATCAGTTCAAGCCTCAATTTCCACTTTCTGTCAAGCACTGAGATATTAATCCATCATCTTTCTCAAAGTTATAAAAAGAGAAAGACTGAAAATGTCCAGCAGGGAGGAAGCACCCAGCTGGCGGGAGGCTCCCTTCCTCCTTCTTGTCTTCTGGGCTCATCCAAAATTGTTCCCCAAGGGAAAAATCGCTTAAAGATTGGGGGTGATGGTGGGCAGAAAGACTGTCCCAAGAGGTCAGGTTAAGCCTGAATTTTAGAATGGAAGATGGGGGCAGAGCGGGTAGTTTAGGAGAAGTGGTTTCTAGGGGACACGCCTCCTGACGCTTTTCCTAGGTGACTGATTTCATTGAACCTTACACCCCCGGGGAAGAGCAGGAATCATTAGCCCATTTTGTGGTTGAGAAAACCAAGACCCAGTGAAGCTTAAGGCGCTCCAGATCACACAGCCGGGAATGAAGTCCCATTTGGGTCTGAGAGAAATCCAAGGCTGCCTTCTACCTTACAAAAGCTCTTTCCCACTCTAGAAGCCAGTGATTTCCCCCATCCCTACCCTACCTCCCCGTTCCGCAAACGAGTTCGGGGCCAGGACACCGGGGCTGGGTCAGAGACCTCTTAGTCTTCCCGGTGCGTGCTTTTCCTGACACGGGGCAAGGGTCTGGCACGGGAGCGCCTCTCGGACCTGCGGATTCGCCCCCGGACTGCGGCGGCGGAGCGCGGAGAGTGAGCGCGCCCCGGTACAGGTGGGGCGGCTGCGCGGGAGATTGGGGAACGCGGAGGCGCGGGGGCGCGGGCCCCGGGCGCGGACAGGGACGGCGGCAGCGCGGCACCGCTCGCCCGCCGCCGGCAGCTGCCGGCCCCCGCCCCCTCGGTGCCGGCTGGCTCTTGGCTTCTCCGGCTGAGAACCAGACACAGCCACGGCCACAGCCGCCCGGGCGCGCACCGGCCGGCTTCCTGCCCCCAGCGCCGGCCACTGGAGGGGCGCGACGCGGCCGCCGACCCGGAGGCGCTCGAGGAAGCGAGAGGGGTCCCCGCGCACTCGGGGCCCCGGCGCAGCGCACGGTGAGCGCCCCCCCCCCCCGGGGGCTCGGAGTTTCCCTTAACCGCGGGTCCCGGTGCGCCAGCCCCCGGGCGCCGGATGGGGTCACCCGGGGGGCGCGAGGCCGAAGTTGGGACCGCGCGCAGCCCGCCCCTGCCGCCAAGCCGGACATGCTGCCGCCGGGCCGCAATGGCACCGCGGAGCGGGCGCGGTTGGAGCAGCAGCAGCTGGCGCAGCGGGGCGCCGCGGGGGGCGCGGAGGGGGCGGCGCCGCTGGGGCCCGCGCAGGTGGTCACCGCCGGCCTCCTGACCCTGCTCATCGTCTGGACCCTGCTGGGCAACGTGCTGGTGTGCGCAGCCATCGTGCGCAGCCGCCCCCTGCGCGCCAAGATGACCAACGTCTTCATCGTGTCTCTGGCTGTGTCCGACCTCTTCGTGGCGCTGCTCGTCATGCCCTGGAAGGCGGTCGCTGAGGTGGCCGGTTACTGGCCCTTTGGGGCCTTCTGCGACATCTGGGTGGCCTTTGATATCATGTGCTCCACCGCCTCCATCCTGAACCTGTGCGTCATCAGCGTGGACCGCTACTGGGCCATCTCCAGGCCCTTCTGCTATGAGCGCAAGATGAGCCAGCGCGTGGCGCTGATCATGGTCGGCCTGGCCTGGACCTTGTCCATTCTTATCTCCTTCATCCCAGTTCAGCTCCATTGGCACAGGGCCAAGGCAGGCTCCTGGGGCGGGGTGGAACCGCCACCCAGCCTGGCCAACGGGACGCCCTGGGAGGAAGCGGGGGAGCCAGAGGCGAGGGCCGAAAACTGTGACTCCAGCCTGAACCGAACTTACGCAATCTCCTCTTCGCTCATCAGCTTCTACATCCCCGTGGCCATCATGATCGTGACCTACACGCGCATCTACCGCATCGCCCAGGTGCAGATCCGCAGGATTTCCTCCCTGGAGAGGGCCGCGGAGCACGCGCAGAGCTGCCGCAGCCGCGCAGCCTGTGCCCCTGACACCAGCCTGGGGACGTCCATCAGGAAGGAGACCAAGGTCCTCAAGACCCTGTCGGTGATCATGGGGGTCTTCGTGTGCTGCTGGCTGCCCTTCTTCATCCTTAACTGCATGGTCCCCTTCTGCAGCGGGCGCCCCGAGGGTCCTCAGGCTGGCTTCCCCTGCGTCAGCGAGACCGTCTTTGACGTCTTCGTCTGGTTCGGCTGGGCCAACTCCTCCCTCAACCCCGTCATCTACGCCTTCAACGCTGACTTCCGGAAGGTGTTTGCGCAGCTGCTGGGGTGCAGCAACCTCTGCTCCCGCACCCCGGTGGAGACAGTGAACATCAGCAATGAGCTCATCTCCTACAACCAGGACACCGTCTTCCACAAGGAGATTGCAGCTGCCTACATCCAGATGATCCCCAATGCCGTGACCCCGGGGGACAGGGAGGTGGACAAGGAGGAGGAGAGCCCTTTCCATCATATGTCCCAGATCTCCCAGACGTCCCCAGATGGTGACCCTGCGGCCGAGTCTGTCTGGGAGCTGGACTGCGAAGGGGAGATTTCATTAGGCAAAATAACACCTTTCTCCCCAAATGGATTCCATTAAACTGCATAAGAAGCGCCCCTCCTGGATCTACATAGCTGCACAGACATTAACAAGCATGCAGAATACACACTCACCAATACATTTCCAGTGCTGCTCAGTGGATCACATTTTCTGTGTCTGTGTAGTAGCCCATGGGCTTAGAAACCTCACCAGATTGATTTGCTGTTGAAAGAATCGGCAGAAGCGTTCGGCATAAACTCAGTCAAATATACCCCCCAGCCTAGCAGAAATGGACCAATGGTCCAGTTAGAGAAGAGAAGGTGGTGTTTGGTTCTAAAAAAAAAAAAAAAAAAAGTAGTAGCTGGGTTTTAAAAAAATATACTCTCCGCTCCCTTTTAAACAAATGAATTGATCACTGACTTATTTTTGTTTGGTTGATTTTTAGACAACGAGTTCTATGTGTGTGTGTAGTGCTGCAGGGGCTGTGTGTGGCTTTCGTGTATCTTATTTCCTGTGGTCCTGTGTTTATGCAGTTTCTGCTCTCTGTGTGTGTCTTTACGACAGCTGAGGAACTCTTTCTGATTTGTTCTGGTGTCTAATAAACACAAATTATGTGCATGATGGGGTGATTGTCTTTGCTTTGCCAGACTGGCTTTCAGAATAGTTCCTAGAGAAACCATGAGAGCATCCCTAAAGTCAGGGAAGATTTTGGCTTGGTCTGGAAGCTTCTTTATTTTATTTTTGCAGACAGGTTGGCCTTATAGGTACATACAGGAGCAAGGGCCGTGAAGAGATTCCAATTCCTCAGGTTTTTTGTTTTAATTTGTTTTGTTTTGTTTTGTTTTAGATACACACATCTCAAGTCTGTGCTGAAAGCCAGCTTCAGTGCCACGGCATCAAATAGGGACTTCTATGCCCTGGAATTCTAATATTTTTTTCTCATTTGGAATCTCCTTTTTAAAAAATAACATACAATAATTCTCCCAGGTTCTAGACAGATGCTCTCAGTTCATTGAAAAGATCATACAGTGCAATAGCTGAATCTTTCTCAATCTCAAATCTGTAGTGTTTTAGACTTACGTGGCTTTTGATCCACATTTCTGAAAGCCTCTGAAATGTGTGAGCTGATAAGCTTTAAAAAAACAAATCTCATTTTTAAATAGACATTTTCATCTGTAGGCACCAGGAAATGAGAGAACGCATTTTAACGAAAATGGAGGAGCCAGAGATGATATTTGAATGAACTTGAAATGGGAAAATCTATTGGTTGAGGTGTTCAACAAAAAAAGAGCGCAAGGAATTTCAATCTTTTTGTTCCTCTCTGCAGCCTGCACAGGGAAGAGGAGCGTTTTATTCTGGAGCCATTCCAATTGAGAGCATGTTATTACCACTAGATCTAAATGCGAGCATTGTTAAGGGAAGCAAATGAAATCTGAGTATGTAATTTCTTATAAGTCCCTACTTGGAAGCAAGCTTATCAAGGACAGTTCAATCAATTTTGGTCTATTTAGGGATAATTTTATTGTCAGTCTACTGAGCAACCACGTCTTGTTCACTGCAAAATGTGCACTGCCTGACACATAATGCTTAATAAATATTTGTTGAATGAATATTTCTGGAACGGTGAGGTTGAAACCAAGTCCTATTTGGTACCTTAATTTTCATACCTGATTTAGGCAAACTGATAGTGGAATCTGAGGTCTGTGTTCAGTTTTTGGCCTCTTTGTGACCCGATCACTTCTGTGGACCATTTGGGAAACATGGGGGGCTATGAGAAGTGCCCTGCTCTAGGATTCAGAAGATGGCTGTGTGATCTCGAATGTCCCGTAACCTTTCTGGGCTGCACTTTCTGTCTGCATCTGTAAGTTGAAACACTTACACTAGAGCAGTGTTTTCCAAATTGTTCTTCACCGTGCAGATGTTATGGGTGGGGTCTCGGGCGACCTAAGCTCAGCAAACCCAGCTAAAATAACTGTTTTCTCTACAGGGCTTCTTAGAGCTTTTCTGTGCAGCGTGAATCCCCGAGCAGGAGAGAATTCTGCATTGCTTCCCGATATCTTTGACCTTGTGAATCCTCTTTTGGCTCAATTCCTTACTCCCTTCTCTCTGGAGACCACAGTTGCAGGGAACACAGTTTGAGAAAGCCGAATCGATCTGGAAGTCTCCTAAGTGTAGCTAATCTATTCTAAAGGACCCACTGTTATAAGCAAGTTTCTTTTTTTTCCCCTTGTGGCAAACGTGTTCTAGGCCCCACACCCACTCCATGCTGGGCGCTATTCTAGGAATGTAGTCACCAAGTAGTCTGGTGTCTTGAGCTTCTGCTTTAGCAGGAGGGAGACAAGTGAAGGAACACGACCATACTGCCCTGCAGTGTGAGCACAGCCCGGACTCCGATACATCATTTCAGGCAGTGACAACTGATGGGACACAGACCGCACAGTAAGCAGGGTGGGGGAGCTGCTGTCTGAATTGGGCTGGTGCCTCTCAGAAGAGGCGATGCGGAGGAGGGTCGGATATTAAGGTCTAGGAGGAGGAGTGCTCCAGGCAGAGGGAACGGCAGTGCCAACGCCTGGAAATGCTTGGCACGCCGGGAGAAGGGAAAGGTGGTCAGTGTGGCTGGAGGTCTCTGAGAGGCTCATGCCCGGATCGGGAGAGCAGCAACGACACGCACTGCGGGGCGGCATTCAGAGCCGGGCACCACGCATGTGCTCATTACCGCGGCCCACGTGCAGCGCTGGGCACCACGCATGTTGTCATTACCATGGGGCCGCATTCAGCACCGGGTACCACGCATGTGCTCGTTACCACGGCCCACGTGCTGTGCCGGGCACCACGCATGTGCTCGTTACCATGGGCCGCGTGCAGCGCTGGCACCAGGCATGTGCTCGTTACCACGGGGCCGCGTGCAGCGCCGGGCACCACGCATGTGCTCATTCATTCAAGGCTCACAACCCTGCCAGGCAGGCACCTTTATTACCCCCATTTTACAGAGGAGGAAATGAAGACATTAGGAAGCTAAATAACAAGCCCAGGGTCACATAGCTCTTGAGTGGCTGAGCTGAACTTGAACTTGGGCAGCGTGGCCGTGGAGTCTTTAATCTTCACTGCCCTGTGGTGGTGAGAAGGGCCGCCAGGGCATCCCCAAGTCAGCAGGTGCGCTAATGTGGGGATCAGAACATCCCTTGTCCGTTTGTTAATTAGCTGGTTACATGACACTTTCCTATGACACTTTCCACATGGAGGCCAACCTCCACTGTTCACCTGCTCTGAACACTCCTTGGTGTTTGGAGGGGAGGCAGCAGAGGGCCGTGGAAAAAAGAGCCATGTCCTGAGCCCTTATGTGGACGGCCAAGTGCTTTCCTGATTCTACTTGACCCTCACATTAACCTCACCTACTGTCATTTGTCCATTTTATAGATGAAGATACTGAGGCACAGAGGGGTTAAGTTGCTTATCCAAGGTCATATGACAGTAAGTGATGGAACAAGTGTTTACACCTGGTTCAGTGGTTCTCCACTGGGGTGATTTTGTTCCCTAGGGGACATTTGGCCAAGTCTGGAGACACTTTTGGTTGTCACAACCAGGTGTGGAGTGCTCCTGCCATCTAGTGGGTAGAGGCCAGGGCTAACCAACTTACAGAGCACAGGACAGCCTCCACCACAAAGAATTATCCAGCCCAGAGAGGCCCTGAGCCGGGCTGGTGGGCTCTGGGTCCCAGGAGCATGCCCACAGAGCTACACTGCTGGGACTCTGAAGCTCCACAGCCTCAAGTTCAAATTTTAGATCCCACATGTATTGGACTAAATTTGGGCACCTTTTCTAGTGTTAGGTTTCATTTATTTTTTTAAGGTTTTTATTATTTTGCAAGAGAGAAAGAGCGATCAGGGGGAAGGGCAGAGGGAGAGGGAGAGGGAGAATCCCAGGCTGACCCTGCACTGAGTGCTCAGAGCCGGATGCGGGGTTCCATCTCAGAACTCCAAGATCATGACCTGAGCCAAAACCAAGAGTCAGACACTTAACCGACTGAGCCACCCAGGCCCCCCTAGTTTCAGTTTATCAGAGAAGTGGGTACATTAACCCCAAAGGTTTGGATGAGAATTAAATGAATGTGCATAACACCGAGGTTATTTTTGTGTTGTTCTTTTTCTTTCTCCTCCTTAAAAGAACTCCATGGCTTGATGCATTTTAAGTCGACTTTGAGGTTCCTAGCTTGGGTAGAAGTACATCATCCTGGAAGTTGAGGCGACGAGAGCTGAGATTCATTCTGTCCGTCCCTCACTGTCTTCTGGGCCTAAAATAGTGTCTGGTATGGAGGAGGTGCTCAATAAATGTGTGTCTCCACCTCGGACACACACACACACACCCCAGTCTTAGGTGCTACCACTGAGTGAGTAACTAGGTGTTTACGCAGCAAGTCCTGGGGTGGTGTCTTCACTGCAGTGTGGTGGTCCTCACATTTTTGGGCTGATCAAAGGCCTGCAGGTCTGAAAGCCCCACAGAGAGTGTTTTCATTGTACAACACACCTGGACGCTCTTTTATAACTAAAAAGAGCCTCCCTATTTCCCCCAGAGTCCCATGAACACTTGGTGAGGTCCTTCCAACCTGCCCATGGAAGAGATGAGACAAGCTGACAGGGGACGGGGCAGAGGTGTCCAGAAACTCATCCAAGGTCACCTACGCTAAATCTGAAGGTGGCCATACTTCCTGTGCCCTCTCCACCGCATGGCACGGAACGAACGTGTGACAACAGGTGAACAGCCAGAACGTCCTTAAAGTTCGATTTTAGTGTATGTGCTGCCGAAGCGAGCACGGGAACGTCCTTAAAATTCGTGCTGCACTACCCACCCCCTCCCAGCTCTTTGTGATGAGAGGAATGACGTGTCCCCATCAAGTGGTGGCATATCCTTAAATCTGGGTTTGTCTGGTGCTCCCTCCTTTGCAGATTCGGACATGAACTTCAGGCAGGAGCCCCACAGAAGCATCGTACTGGGGGCATGTGCTGTTACTTCCCATCACTGGCAATGTCCCCTTTGATCATGGGTGATGGCGGTGGCCACTATAAAGTT